CCCAAGACCAGGAACTTTAACTAGATAAATTTTTGTACAGACGACTTACATTGTCTGCAAAGCTCAGGAGTGTGGTAAAGTACTGATAAACCCTCGAAGTTACAGCAACAACCGTGCGTCATTAACTTGAGTCCAGTCATTTGAGCTCTGTGTTTGTTTCCTAATACACTAGCGGAAATAGGAAGAACCCAACAAGAGGAAGGCTTTCCCTTATAACTACAGAAGCAGGAACACCTTTCCGCTCTCCAAAGATCTTAGTTGGCTCTAGTCTCAGAGTAGTTTTGGTACATTAATAATACATCATTTTGTCTCCGATCCCTTAATCCGAAATGTCCTGTAGGGTAAGCGTAGGGTCAAATAAAGCAAGACGTGAATGAGATCTTCTTTCCCCACTTTTTGGAAGAGGGAATTGCTCTTTCGTATATCATTTGTAAATCACATTTTTCTATCCGGTAGAAAAGCCCAATTCCATTTTCAATTCCAAAACATCCAGGAGAGGATTTTCCCCCTTATACTTAATCATCTAAAGCATAAGTGTAGGCAGTGTGAAGCCAACAAAGACTAAAGAGCTGTCATGATAAGTTGATGTTAGGCTATTACCACTTCAACAGAGTCAGACCACCACCAGCAAGATGTAAAATATTGATCTGTTATTGCGCCATGCGGTGTTTTTATTAACATCTACAACCGGCTCTGAAGAGAAAAATGCTTATCAGCAAACAACAGCACATTAGAAGAGAAAAGATTTTATTATTTTTAAAGTGTAAACAGAAATATACAATTCATAAGAACTCCCTGCAGTTCCTTACATGAGCAATAACGCAAGTCCATTGGGGCACGAGAAAGACACTTTTAATAGGGTATTTATTACAGTAGAATTTTTGCACTTGATTTTCATGAAAATAAAAAATATTGTTGTGTTATTTGGCACCTTGGAAACTACCCTCGTGCATTTCCAGTGGTAAGAGTTTGACAGTTGCAGGGTTTGTTGGGTAGCTTTTTCACGCACACTCACCCATCTTGTTCTTTGAATTTACGCACAGAACTACACTTGTGAAATGCAAACCAATGTGTTACTATTCACATGATACACTGATCAGAGCGGAAACTAACCCGAAACGAGTACAAACGGCGGGAATGGGTGACAGGCCAGCCCCAGGCAGGTGGCCAGCATGAAGTTACTTGGGGAGAAATGAGGTGAACCATATTATTACGTCTATACAGCAAACCCATAATCAACAGGATAAGTTGAGAAATAAGATTACACTGGAAGCTGCTCAGCTGCAGACCTGGATTTTGCTTTGCCTCCGCCTGGGAAGTTCCACAGCTTGCAACTTCCTCGTGTCTCGCTTGAGAAAGTCTAACTCAGGAAACACCCCGGTAAGGGACAGGTATAAAAAGGAGAGGTTTTTTTTTAAGGCAGCTATAATGGAGATAAAAGTGCAGAACGCATCAGGCAATTTTACTGTGATTTACTCGGGTCACAAGCGGAGGATGCTGAAAGAAACAATGTGCGAACTGAGTAACACCCCAGGTTAGTTAAATAACAGCAACGACTGGTGTATATACACGGAGTATTATAACTGGGTAATTGTGACCCTCCAACACTGAGCACTGCACAAACTTTATGAAACCGAAAAGAAGTTAGCAAATAAAATGGAAAGATCGGGAGGAATCTCTCCTTACACTGAAGCGACATGATTCGATTACTGGTACGCGTACTGACAAAAAATACACTGAAATCCACATTAAACACTTTAAAACATGTATTAACAACAACCCCGGACCCTCACCCCTGACATACTAAATTTCTCCATTCCACTCCGAAATGGGAAACATTACATTAAAAAGGGGTCAATATCACAAACCCATTTGGTGGCTGCCGACGATTTGACTGGTTTGAAGTAACACAGCAGCTGGATAAAATACTGTTTTGATTTTTGTCTTTGCCTCTGCTCTAATAACATCAGAGGCAACGCAGACATGACCACTGAAGAAAAGATCACTTTAATTTAGCTTCATCAAAACTATAAGAACTAATTAGTGTACTTGCATGCCAGACATGGCATCAGGCACATATTGCTGCTTATCAGACATTAGCAGTTAAAAGTTGCTGACATCAGCTAGTATTACTAAAAACATTTCCTTCCGAGGTCTGCAATTTCAATGATTTTCTGGGCGTTTCTATTTTATGAAACTGGCTGTGTATTTTATCAAGTGTATAAGGCAGGGACATTATTTTGGCAAGCACATTCAAAGAAATATGGAATTTAGGCCTGCGTTGAATCAAAAACTGAATCATGATGATGAAGCATGACAGTTATTAAAAATGCCGAAGGTGAAAATTTAAGCATCTTTGAATTTTTAAAAATCAGCAAAATCAGTAATTCATGACTTTTTATTTATGCTATCATAATTCACAGTGAGATCCAGACGGTTGCTGAATTGGTAAAGTACAAAGCAATTGGCATTTTAAGGTAGAACTTTCAAACGCAAGTGGGGCTCTACAAATAATGCCAAAGGAGAAAATCTTATACCAAGAGACTTTCCCCCAAATTTGGACTAAAGTTCTTGGACCCTTTATTTGCAGAGCATGGTAAGTGTGAAGAGTTGATCCATTTGGTCCCAGAGAAGAAAAGGCTATTGATAGTAAATATTATTTTTTTACTATTCAAAATTATGTCCGTCTTTAAAAACAGTAATTTATATTTTGCTTTGTCTCAAAATAGACATTTTATTAGAATAAAAAATAAACGTATCAACGAAGCTCTAAAACTAAATTTTAAATACAGGTATTTATGTTACAGTTTTCACTAAAACATGTTTTACAGCTCTCGATTTAAAACCTCTCTAGCAAAAGTGGGAATCCTAAAATCAAGAAGCAAAAGATTTCAGCAGAAATAGCATCGGGTCATTTTGGTTTAAATTTAGTCCTTGCTTCTGTAATGTACAGATTTATTAGAAACCTTATTTTCAATTCAGAGACAGTCCCGCCCTAGAAATATCTATTCATTAATTTATTATTTCGTAGGAGCTATTTTATGCACAGTCTCTCCTCTGGTCTCAAAGGAAAGAAAAAGATATTATCAGAGCTACAGAGAACAATTTGTATTTGTAAATCCAAATACTACATTATTGTCTTTGTGCTATTCTTTAATTTTAATTTAGTCATTATGGCTTAAATAACCCTCCTAAAAAAGCACAAACAAAAATATTCTGTTGTTAGAAATGTCTCCGAGCATTTTAAAGGCTGAAGAAGAGCACGGAGGAGGAAGAGGGGAGAGAAATCTACCTGGATACATTATTTAAAAGCAAATCTGTTAAAATGCATAAAACCCAAAGTTTGCTCCTGTCATAGAAAGCAAGCAAGCAAGAAAGAAAAGTGAACCCTGAAAGGAAGCAGCAAAAATCCTGTAGGCGATAGGACCACGAAGAAGCTGTTAAACTCTGGCATCAGCTCGGTGCAGGGCTATGTCAGGGCAATTAGAGCTGCACCATGCTGCACTGTGCAGTACTGCTGTCAGCCTTAATCTGCGCACTGATGGGCAGCACGAAATCCAAGCTACAGCCCACAGGAAGCACAACCAGTGAACCCATATTGCTTTGACAGTTGCACTCATCTAGAAATAATGCAAAACGCTATTTAGATGTATACATCACGACCCTGTGCTCTAGGAAGAAAACAATCTAATGAGGGGCTGGGAGGCTGCTTGCAGAAAACAAGCAGCAAAGGGATGTGGTTTCCCCCCCCTTCCGCTCCTCTTAAAGCTCTTCATATTTGATTCTGTTGGAGCGGCGCGTGGGGGCTAGTTTGACTGAACTGTTCTTTGCCTCTGATGCTTCACCGAAGAATTTGAAAATAGACGGGAAACTCTTCCAGGAAGTTAGCTCGTGACGCTCGGTCCCTGCAAAAGACAAAGAGCAGAGTTTGATTCGGTTTGGGGCGGTTGCGGTTCTGGGGTTGCAAGTCCCACCGTGCAATTGTGCAGCGTAACCGCACATCCACGGAGAGCGCGATTTGCGGGTCCCGTTCCAAAGCTCGCTATTAGGAGAGGGGCTTGAACCAATTACCTGAGGCGTGATCACAGAGCGCCCCCCCTCCCGCATCACCTGCAGGGGCATTCTCACGGCGCGGAGCGTGCAGGGGTTTAGTTTTACACATTGACTAAGTGAGGCGAAGAGAGCAGAGCGATGCCCTCAGCAGAAGCCCGAAAAGGCCGACAGGTTACTGAGTCTGCCTGGTTACCATTTTCTCCCACCCAAACCCTGGCCGGTGAAGTGGACAAGGGCCGTCCCAGAATGGAGTCACTGAAGCACATTTAAAGTCCTTTCCTTCCACACATGCGGCGTGATTTCTATTTCTAGGCATCCTCCCATTGCAAACAACCTCCAGGACCGCCGCACACAGTGGGGCCCACTGGGAAGTCTACTGGAAGCTAGCAGCGATCACTTTATTTCATCCCATCCCCTTGAGCGCTGCCAAAGAGCCGTGGGTCCTTGCAACGTTAAAACCCAGACACGCCCCCCCCCCCCTCGGGCGGTGCATCTCCAAGGTCAATTTCATGAAAGGAGCGAAGTCCTTGGCCTAAGTGTAAAAAACGGGGATTTCAGTTTTAGGACACAAGAAGCTGCCTATGTTACTGAATCCCGGCTCCCTTTGGGCTCTGATTGAAACGCAGGCAGTCACAATAGATGCCTTTAAACACAAATTGGGATGACTTTAGCCAGCGCTGTTACCAACAAGCCAGTTCAAGATGCTCAGTCTGAAAAAGTGAACCGTGTCTGCGGTTCCATCCCCCAGAGGAAAAGTGCATTTGTATAAGCTGTCTCATGCACAGGGGGTTTTACTGTCCTGCCCCTGGCCTCTTAACTGCCCAGCACCTTTGTATGACAAAGACAAACAAATCATAATAAAACCCCACCCCTCTCATGCAGTCCAGGATCCAAATCTGAAAGAGTGGTGATGTCTTGCTGGATAACCCAGTGGTGCAGAGATGCTGCCTGGCAGTCTCTGGATCCCAGGCCTCTGTTTGATACTTTAACATTGTTAATGATAATTCTTTAGTCTGTAATAGTAGGTCATTGCTATGGTTACTCTACAATGGTGCAACACTTCGCTTTCCCCTTCAGCTATTCGCTGAGACCTGGTAACCACATTTGTTGCCTAGCAACAGTTTTGTGACAGTATCACAATCTGGGAGTTCCAACAATAAAGGACATGATGGCCGTGGCCTGCCCAGAGGAGAGATCTATAGCGTGGGGGTGGGTGGGTGACTTCGGGATGGGAGTGGCCCCTGAAAGAGCTGCTACTGACAACTTGCAGAGTCCCTGCAGCAACACACAGAGACAAGGGAAGGCTCTGCTAACAAGACAGCCCACACAGCTATGCCCCTACAGACACTGAGAAAGGAAGATATATGTGGTGGTGGATTGTCATTGTGTAAACACACACCACCACTCCCCACACAGGTGCTCCCTTCTGAGATACCCTTTGCCTTTACACATGCACACCTCGTCACAACATATGCCTCAATGCAGATGCAGTTTTCAAGAACAATTCACTACATACGTCCACCCACAGAAACCCTTTACTGCCACCGTACAGATATTTCCTCAGCCCACAGACACCTTTCACAAAAAAGGCAATTAGCTAATACACACTACTCCTCCACTAACACCTTTTAAAAAGGCAATCTACATCATACACACATACCCCCTAACACACACACCTGCTTTACACAATCTGCCACATGTCTCAGAAATTTCTTCACAGAAACCTTTTAAACATCAATAATCACCTCAGCACCAAATGCAGGTATTCCCTCCCCCACACAATTTTTCACCCAGAGATAATCCATCACATCTACAGACATCATGCTTAATACAGACAATCCATCACACCCTACAGCCGGAGAAGTCAACAGACAGACCATAGGCCAAATCTGAACAGCCAGACACTTTTGAAGGGATCCATGACATCTTTTACATTTTTTATTATTAGCATCATTGTTATTGCAGTGTGAAAAATATTCCTCTGGAGTCCATACCTTGACTATTCCTTGACCAAGAAACTTGGACCTTGACAAAAAATAACTGATTATTCTTGCACCTATACAACTCCCTCAAAATTACACAAACTTCCTACCACAACACAATGACATAGCTCCTCCTTCAATAAGACAATCCACAATCCCATGTGAATCTTTCCACCACAGAGGAACCCTTTATAGGGAGACAATCCACTGTGACCACACACACCCTTACACAAAGTTGTAAACCCCTATATACATCCCATTTGCATAAAGTCATGCTACCACACATATAGACACTCCGTACAAGAGAACAGTATCTCTCTACAAGCAACCACTTAAGTCACTTCAGCACCAAATATTTGTTAGCCACTCTTGTGCCGGCAATTTTCCCTATACAGACACTTGTACCAGTTAAGACTCCTTACTCTTGCACATGTTGATACCATATTGAGTCTCTACAGGCAGACAGCCTCCACATCTTATCCTTGGTTTTCATCACACAGCTCAACTCCCACACCCCAAAAGACATACACACACTACTCTGCCTCTCCAGTCTTCCCTCATTAATTTCTCTGCACACACCCACATTCATTTCTGTCTTCTTATATTTTGATTAAACTGAATGCAGAGAATATCACACTGATTTATTCTTTATCATTTATATTTTCTCTTTGTGAAAGACCATCTTCAGGAACAAAGAATGACTAAAATAATGCCCAAGAAACTTTGTTTTAATTGTCTTTCCCTTCCTTCATTTCTCCTTCTCCCCTGCATTTTTCTAATTTCCTCAGAGATCACACAGAAATGTTACTGAGAGGCTGATCAATGTTTCCTACAGCAACTCACTTACCCCACCTTTCTCCAAAAACAATTCAGGCTTTAAATCTAGAGGGCCTGATGACTCAATGGCCTAAAGCAATTTTAACTCCCTCTATTTTCCTTTTCCTAGCAACAATCTTACTGACAGATGAACAATTTCCCTGGTGATAAAATCACTACCATGGCTGTTTAGTATCCAGGATTATGATGACTCTTTGCTTGAGTAATACAGAAAAGACAAAAACAAAAATTCAGCCTTGTTACCTTGTCAATTCTATACACTGCCTTTCGTGGCCCTTTTACAAGTCAAAATTTGCCCTCAGATATGCACTTTCAGTTCCCATTGAAGGGAAAGCAAAACGTATCCTATAAAATTTAACATGATAAAGGTAGTACATTTATTATTTAAAAAAATATACAAAATTGCAAGGTGTGCTGGACAAAAGCAACATGAGCTAGAAGTTATGCTAAATGACAGCATGGCCTAGTATGTGTAATAGATTTGGTGGCCTGGTTCTCAGAATGGCAACATTAAAGAGTATAAACTATACAAGGAAAACAGAAAGGGAAGAAGAGTTAGCATTACATGTCAAAAATATTTGTAAAACCAGTAGTAGAAGAACTGGTTGGGAATTTTCTATTAGAATTAGTTTCTGACAGACAATGCAGGTTTTACCAATTCAAGTTTCTAAAGAAACATTTTGATTTTGTTGACAATATTTATTTTCCTCGTTTTTAATTTTGGGTTGGTTTGATCCAAATCACATCAAGAAAACATTAAACTCTATATCCTCTGTGGCACATTCTTCTATAAGAGTTGGAGTTTAGTCCCTCCATTTTCGCCAGGGGTCTGGCTTCCTGGAGATCTTAAGTATCCCTTAATAACAATGTGGATTTTAACTCTGATCAAGCTGTGCTCAGTACCACAGGAGTCACAGAGTTTGGTGCACTGTGAGAGATATATTTTGGTCAGGGAGCCTGGCCCATGGAGGAGAATGGAGTCAAAAGGTCTCTGAGCTACATTCCTCCAAGGTAATGCGCCACTGTGGAAAAATTCATTATACTATCTGACCCAAAGGATTTCAGATCCATTCAGAAACATTTCAATTTTGGAAAAGTCAAAATATTTCACTGTGATTGAAAATGTAAAACCAAAATATTTAGACATTTTCAAATTAAAATGGTTCAGAATTTTCATTCTGTGAAAATTTTTGAAAGTTCATCTTTTCATCATGAGACAAAAGCATGTAGAAATTTCATAAATTTCACAGGATGGAAATTCCAAACTCACTCAGCTCTAACACATATGAATGAAAAGAGCAGCAGTAAAGTACTTGGAATAAGATACAAGTAGTATAACATAAAGGTGAGATTGTACCTCTTCTATAGAGCTATAGAAATGAAGGAGAGTTAGGTAACAAAATACTGCTAAACACTGATCACCAAAGAAATATCTGTTACTTCATGATCAAGAACATGGGGAATATTATATCTAACTACTTTATAACACAGTTATAAACTGCACACAGTTTTCACAATTATATAGCATCTTTTATGTGAAGATTTTAAAGTACTTCACAAAGATTGTTATTATCCCTATATTCAGATAGTTAATTGAGGCATAGATACTACAACTGACTTATCCAAGGTCCCAGGAAAACAGGATCAGACCCATGGTTCATCTAGTCCAGTATTCTGTCACCAGATGTCTCCAAGGAAGATGCAAGAACCTCTCAGGAGGCAGATGGGATTGGTTTACATTCAGGGACATGAGGTTTTTATCCCTTCTGCAAATCAGGGCAGAAACAGAAATAAAATCTCAGTCTCCTAGATTTCAAGAGCTAAGCTATTACATTGATCTATACTAGCTACACCAGAAGCTACACCAAAAGCCATTGGGAATCTGCTTCTTACCTATAGAAATAATTGTCTGGCAGCATGACATAATAGGAAATATTCATACCAAGTGATTAAAGGCTATTTGAATCAACATACAATTCTAAGCAATGGGTTGATAGAACATAGAAGTATAAAGGCTTTATGAAATAAATTGC